TAGTGTAGTAACTAAAGAAAAAAAAGGTCTTAAACTATCTTATTCTATAACAGATAAATAAAATATATAAAATCTGCACGTGTAGCCACAGTTTCTTTTATACGGCAACACTCTAGTCGGTATAGTCCATAAAAAAATGTTCCGTGCCGCATTATTTTAGGCTAGGCTAAATTCCCATAATTTCCCCTTTTCATGTCTTTCCCCTTTTTCTTCCCCTCTGGACCCTAATTTCCCCTTAAATGGGGAATTTCCCCTCATTGTGGAAACACTGCATGCGCCGTTCTCACCTACAAGACCAAAGACCTTATGCTATACTGCCATGTTTTAAGTACTTTCAGAATTAATGGAATGTAGTGTGGTCATGATGTAAGGGTGGTAGTGAAGCTGCGCACACTGCTGTTGTCACTAAGAAAGACCACGTTTTTCAAGTGTGTTTAATTAATTAAAAATATTGTGTTCGAGTGTATGTTTAGGTTTATATATTCCTTACTGAGTTTTGTTTTAAACGTGTCACACTACTGTAAACCTTCAATCGGCAGGAAATGCAGGTCTTAAAAATAGCAGTTTATTTAATCAATTTATATATCTTGATATATTTTTTATTAGTTATTCATATATATATATATACGAGTTTTGTTCAAAAAATATCGCGAATTTTGAATTTTCGCGGGCTACGTATTTTCGATTTTTGAACTTTTGGTGGCGTTATGTTGGTACTCATGACCCTCACTTATGTTGACAATTTCGGCCATTTTGAATGTCCAGTCATTCAAGTCCAGAAATTCGTACCAAAATTGCTCAATATCGACCAAAAACAGCATCGCATTAACATTGCTCAGGAGATGTTGGATTCTGTCCGTGACGACCCAAATTTGCCCCAGAGAGTCATAACTAGTGGCGAATCATGGGTTTTTGGTTATGACGTAGAAACCAAAGATCAATCATCCCAATGGAAGCAAGATGGAAGCTACCGCACGAGCCAAGACCGAAAAAAGCACGCCATGTTCGATCAAATGTGAAGGTTTTGCTGACAGTTTTCTTCGATTGCAGGGGCATTGTGCATCATGAGTTCTTGCCGCAGGGTAGAACGGTCAATAAGGAATATTACCTTCAAGTAATGCGCAATTTGCGAGAAGCAATCCGCCAGAAACGCCCGGATTTGTGGAAGAACAAAAATTGGCTTTTGCACCATGATAATGCTCCTGCTCACACATCGTTTCTTGTGCGCGAATTTTTGGCCAAAAACAACACTCTAATAATGCCGCAGCCACCGTATTCCCCAGACCTGGCCCCCTGTGACTTTTTCTTGTTCCCGAAACTGAAGAAGCCCATGAAAGGACGACGCTACGCCACGATTTAGAGGAGAGAGATTTATATTGAGGAGATAAAGATGGCATCGAAGGAGGCGCTGAACAAGTTCTCAAAAAATGATTTTTCAAAATGCTTCGAGGATTGGAAAAAACGTTATCACAAGTGTATTATGTCTAATGGGGATTACTTTGAAGGGTACAAAATAGATATTCATGAATAAATAAATAATTCTTGAAAAAACATGAAATTCGCGATACTTTTTCAACAACGTAGTATATATATATATTTAATTGTATTTATTTAATATATTATTTTGTTTCGTGAACTTATTATAATATGTCTGACAGTAGTGAATATGGTTCAGCGGAGGATGGTACCTCGTCTTTTTGTTCCCTTAGCGACCGGTCGTCCGATGATCCTGATGATTTGGGCGCACTCGTGGCTAAAGAATTCAGTGGCACCGTAACTTTGATGTCTGCCACATCAACGCTCAGTGTGTTCCTTGTCATTACATCGAACTTTTGAACACTTTCAAGTCTAATTCAGTTGTCCATGCCGTTCTGATTTCAGAAAGCTGGCTGAAGCCCTGTCTGAGTTCAGCATCTGTTGACGTACCAGGTTTCACGCTCATTCGAAATGACAGAATTAGTAAAGGTGGCGGGGGAGTTGCCATTTATTTAACTCAGTCTATGCCTTATAAGATTTTAACTTCCTCTTCTTCCCGCTTCGATTGCATGGAATACTTATTTCTCGAAATAGATGTCAAATATGCTAAAGTACTTCTAGGTGTTATTTACTGCCCCCCTTCTGTTCCTTTCCTAACAGAGCTTGAGACTCTTATTGACGACATCTCCTCAGATTACAGAAATCACATAATCATGGGTGACTTTAACACGGATCTTTTAAAAGATACTCATTCCTCACGTAGCTTCCGATCAATATTTGAGTCTGCGAACTTCACTATTTTACCTCTTGGTCCGACTCATCATAATATCGTTACTGACGACTCATGGATCGACCATATCGTAACTTCCTCTCCAGACCTGGTCACGAAACATGGTCAGCTGTCAGCGCCTGGGTTTTCAAAACATGATCTGATTTTTTGGCGCTCAAAGTAAAACCCCCTAAAGCTAAGCCGACTATAATACGTATGAGAAATTTCGCGAAGCTGAACGTAGAGAAGCTTTTAATTGAAGCGAATGCCATTGATTGGTCGCCTGTGTATGGGGAAGCATCTGTTAATGATATGATCACCACCTTTAAAGCAGCAATAATCAAATTATTTGATCATCATGCTTCCGTTAAATCTGTCAAGCTACGACGACCACCTGCTCCCTGGACCACTCCTTTGGTGCGCATAGCCATGAGAAGACGTAATAAGGCCTTTCGTATTTTTAAACGATGCCGCTCTGATTTCAACTTTAGCGAGGCTTTCAGGAGAGCAAGAAATCGATGCAACCAGATGATAAGAGGTGCGAAACGTCATTATATTCATCAGAATGTTACTCTCCAGCCGAAATGTGGAAGTTCCTTAATTCAATTGGTATTGGCAAAACACGAACTCGATTTTTATCTTCTTTTTCTTTAAACGATTTTAATCGTCATTTTTCGCGCGTGAACAAACTTTCTGACACTGTTAAATTCCTTACAATTTCCAAACTTTCTTCCACGACCACTCCTTCTAATGTCATTTTGTCATATAGTCGTGTTCAAGTCGCAGTGGGTACAAATTGTGAAGTGCGTACAGATGGATCCAGCCCAGGGAGGGGTCCTGACCCACCTGGATCCGCCCTTGCCTCGTACTTGAGCACACACTTAGTTGGGATGGCCAAATAGAGAACATATGTCGCAAGGTAAATGGAACACTTGGTTCGCTTTATCGCCTCAAGAATTTTCTCCCTCCGTGTACTAAAATCTCTCTTGTACAATCCCTTGTTCACTCTCTCTTTGATTATGCTGATGTTTGTTTTACTGATATAAATCAACTATTTCTTACTAAATTGGATCGTCTTCTCAATAACACTATTCGTTTCGTCTTTGGTTTACGTAAATACGACCACATTTCAGAGTTCCGCAATAGACTTAAGTGGCTACCTATTCGGGAGCGTAGGTACTTAAGGACAGTTCTTACCCTTTTCAATTTACTATACGATCCACGCACCCCTGGATATCTGAAATCTCGGTTTCAGTTCCTGGGGTCTTCCCATGAATTAAATCTCCGTTCCAATGATAATTTAATACTTGAAGTACCCATTCACCATACTGGGTTTGTCTCCAGTTCGTACACCCTTTCTGCCATTCGGCTCTGGAATTCACTTCCTTTACACGTGCGTAACGCCCCAAACAGGAATGCGTTTAGGTCTTTGGCGCGGAAACATTATTTAAATTTATCGCAAAATGCTTAAATTTGAATTAGGATACTATAATCAGGCACTGTATATTATTGTTAGATATGTATTTATGTATGTATATATTTGTGTGTACCTATTATATATGTTGCTATAATGTATATTTATATATGTATGTATAAGTGATTAATGCTTTTTAATGTTTTCTCTGTTCGTTGCCTGCCGTTTTATTTTCTCTGCACCTTCTTTCCGGTTTACTGGTAGAGAATGCCATACTGGCATTAAGTCCGCCATTTGCATTGTAAAGGCAATAAAGATTAAATAAAAAAAAAGTGCCGGACTCCTTTATGAACCGCCGCCCGCTGGGTGGGAACGATTGCATTGTTTTGCCGATTTCTCTGTTATTTTGTAATAATACCCTTCACGAACGTGTATTGGGATTCTCCATAAAATTTTATAATAAACACAAAGCTTAACCTTTGGAGTTTCTGGCGGGATTTCATGGAGTGCGGTTAGCGTCATATTTTAATTATTCTTTAATTCGTTCATAGTGAATATCGTGAACTAAAATTGGTATAATTTTGTGTTTCAACCGTCTGCACGGCTGAAGAATTATTGGAATCTTTGAAATATTAATTAACCTAAGTAACCATATTAAGTAAAAAAAATACCTTTGGATATGCATTTTGTTTTACACGACGTAACCACACAATATCCACTATGAACTAATATAAGAATAATTAAAATAAGACGTCAACCACACTCGATGAAATCCCGCCAAAAACTCCCAATGTTGAGCTTTGCGTGCAGTATTACCAGAAAGCCATTTCGCCTTTCCCCCAAATCTTACACGTAATCCGGCAAAATAGAGGTTTTTATAGAAAAAAACCCCCAGCATGCAAAAAATATTTATTAAGATACAATGTTTACTACTTATTAGGTATTTCTGCTCAAATTACAATTTAGAAAGAAAAAGATGATTTAGATTTTCAAAGATGATAGATAGATAGTGTAGAATCGATTTGCAGTTTAAGCTAACGACCATAACGACTGACTGATTTGCTTGACATGACTGACCGAGACGGATTGGATCATTGGACTGACGATTTTTTTTATTGGCTTTGGACTTAGAAATCCGAATCCGGCATGATTCTCTAAGCCTAATAAAATTAAATTTGACAACAGTCTATCTTTGCCATGTTCTATAAAGAATGAGAGAGACTATTGATTTTTAGAGATCAAAAGTTTATGAAGTTATGTAAACCCCTCATTTGCGCCAAACCCAAAATCCTTCGACATGTTATTGCAACGCATAGGTTTTGATAAATGAAAATACAAATGAAATTTAAAATACTAAATAATATATTTAGGTTTCATCTTCTTGCATCTCCTCGTCTTCTAGTATGTTTTCTTCATTGTCATCATCATTATCTTCACTGTCACTTGGTATGTTGATATCCTTATGAAAACCTTTCCCTTTGGTCCAGTGACATTTTATAACTAATTTAAATTGTGCCATCTGAATTCCGAAAAGTTTTAATATACTTGCTTGTTCTGGTGACAGAGGTGATCCTTTTTTGCATACCTTAAACATCAAATTATTAGTTTATCACTCAGTCAAGTCATCCCCATTATGGGAGTTTAATTTAATGTTGGTGCATATTGTGTGCAGCACAGTTGTGATTAATTAATGCAACACTATTTTGAAGTACCTGTGTTCCTAAACTTTGGACATTAATGATAAAGAATTTTTAAATACAACTATTTATTATTACCAACTCCAGTTCTTTTATCAACACACCCTACTTAAAACTATGTTTCCGAAAAAAGCAGTTTTATTTTCCTTTTATGTACTTGACTATTGATATATTTACCGATTCACAGTGTTTGCACATACAAGTAATAGAAAAACTGAATGTGGAAGTTATGGGACATAATTCACAAAACACATCTTCACTCCATGTAATAGATTGCTTGAGATAGAGAGATAATGTCCCGACTGTTAGGACACAGCCTTTCCCTTAGTGCGCGAGCACACGATGCGTTGCGGCGCCGCACCGCAAAGATTTCGCCGCATCGGTGGGCACATGAGCGGTGCGGCGCCACAACGTTGTTACTTCGTAGCAGCGCCGCAACCCAGCAGCATACATTCTCTATGACGCATAAACAACTGAGCGGTGCCTCTCTGACGTCGCAACGCATTCACCCCTCCCCGCCTCGTCTCGGTGGTTGCAAGTCCGGTGCGGCGCCGCAACGCATCGTGTGCTCCCGCTCTTATGGATAAGGGGATTCGGCCAGAAAGCCAAGTTGTTGCGCTATCAAAATAAATAGGCAGACGTCGACCGATGGTTGCTACATAAGGCCAGCCATGACAACACGTTCCTGGTGTTCAGCACCACCAGATGTCGCAAAGAAGCTGCTAAAAAGAGGCAGGAGACTATGCTATTTGATGGGTTCGGTGTATGTTAGGTTCAGGAACTAAAGGGGTCAATACCTGGATAGCCTGCCTCCTTTAGAGCAACCTACATCCACTCCGTCACTGAGCTCATCAGGGGGTATAGTAACGGGAGCAGAAAGCAGCAGACATTATCGACGAATGGGCCGACAAACTTGGTGGTATCGACATCGGGCAGGAGGTACGATGTCGACGTTTTGCTTGCGTCTGATGGCGCCTCCACCGAATAAGATCAAAATCTTCCAGCCAAACCTCCAGCACAGTCGCACCGCAACGGCTCAACTCAGGAAGTGGCTGGAGGATAACAACAACGGGGCTATTGCTCTGGTGCAAGAGCCGTGGATCAGACCAAACATCATAAGTGGCCTCAACAATACCGGTGGTAAGAATTTTTACAATCCAGGTAACCGCGCTCCACGGATTTGTATGTACAAGACACCCATAGGCAAAAATAATGACACGATTTTGTTCTAGTGACGTAACAACAATCCAAATAATACAACAGTAAAATCCAAGTGTACCTGTCTTGCCAGTTGCCTCTGCCTACGTGCCTGAAGAAGAGGAAGCTCCGTCAGGGGAACTGGCTGAGTTAGTGAGACACTTCGAACAAACAGACAAGGCGCTGATCATCGGCACCGACTCCAACGCCCACCATCAATTATGGAGACTGACGAAAAGCAACAAACGAGGTGCGGAATTGGTAGATTACCTATTTACCACAAACCTTAATATAATAAATACAGGATCTGAACCTACTTTCGTAACAAGAAGGGGCAGATTCATCATCAACCTTACTCTTGCATCAAGGAGAGCAGTGGTATTGATCTCTGACTGGCTTAAGGTTATTTGCTTTGAACCACAAGATTTGAAAATTATATCGCAAAACATACATTACATATAGCATTTACAGTAACTTGACTTTTCCTTATCACTGGTCTCATAAAAGGTAGATGTAGATATTATTTTCGTAACAGAATGTTGGATTCAAACCGGTAAGCCAATTCCCAACATAGACAGTTATGTATCTCTTGTCACTACTCGTAATATGAATAAAAACAACGGAGTTGCTGTATACTTAAAAAAGTCAATCTCTGCATGCATGAGTGAAATTAATTTAATTCATGCTACATGTGTTTAGATCGAAATGGGTGACAGTATAATTTTGGGTGTTTATAGATCACCATCAAATCAAAATACTGATAGCTTTATTGAATCTCTAAATATGCATTTAGACTCCTTGAAAATGTTTTCTAATATAATAGTTACAGGCGATATTAATATCAATATTATTTCAACAACATGCGCATGATGCAGGCAAACGACTTCGACTTCTTGAATATGCTGTCTTCCCATGGCCTCTTGACAGGTCACTATATTCCAACTAGGGGTAGAAATTGCTTGGATCGTTTTATACTTAAGTTAAATTAACAACGTACTACAGCTCAAATTGTGGTCTTGAACACTACCGTTACGGATCATGCTATGATATTGGTAAATCTAACTAAGATAAAAAGAAGTGAACATGATGGTGATTTCAGGATTGTCATTGACCATGATAGAGTTATAGAAAGCTTAGCAACCCAAAATCATTTCAAGACCAGATGGCACAGGAAATCGACAGAAGGATCGTTAATGCTTGGAAAAGGTACTGGTCTCTAAAAGATATCATGACGAATGCCCACTACACCATATCAGTGAAAAGAAAACTCTTCAACACAAACATGTATCTTGCCAATACTAACATATGGTTGCCAGACTTGGGCCATGACACAAGCACTGCAAAACAAACTAAGAACGTGTCAGAGAGGCATGGAGAGAAGTATTCTTGGATACAGAAGGAGTGACAAGAAGAGAGCTACCGACATCAGAAAACTCACAAAAATTGAGGATGTCATTGAAAAAAGTAGACAACTCAAATGGAAGTAGGCAAGTCACGTCACAAGAGACGAAATAGGGAAGTGGACAAGGAAGACCACAGAATGGATCCCCAGAATGAACACTTACCGTAAACGTGGACGACAGCTGAAAAGATGGTCGGATGACATAAGAAGGGTAGCTGGCCCGCTATGGATGAGGTTAGCAAGGGATAGATTGGGGTGGAAAAGGCTGGAGGAGGCCTATGTGTCTGCAGGACACGCTGAATTATAAATAAAGGTTAATGATGTGTTTTTTATGTAATTATCAGCAATAAAGGCATTTGTATTTGTAGCAACCCAAAATATGATGACATTATTCCTAAGTGATGACCCTGATTATATAATGTACCAAAACAGTTCAGCAAAAATAAAGTTAGAATCACTTGGCAAAAAAATGACATAAAAAGAGGAGTAAGACAAGGGGATCCACTGTCATCAAAACTTTTTTCTGCTGTTTTAGAAGACATTTTCCGCAAGATCCACTGGGATCAGTATGGGTTAAAGATGGAAGAAGGCTAAGTCATCGAAGGTTCGCAGACGATATTGTGATCTTTGAAGTAGACCTGAGGCTCCTGGAGAGAATGATAAAACGAAACTTCTAACCAATTCATCTAAATTGCTATTCAAGTCGACAATCTTGCTTTGGAGTATGTGCAAGAATATATCTATTTTGGTTAAATTATTTCAGCCTGAGATCAAACTTCTAAAAAAGTCAACTCACGGATAGCCAATGGATGGAGGAAATATTGGAGTCTGAAGGAGATGACCAAAGCTAGAGACCTAAGCATATCACTGAAAAGAAAAGTATTTAATACCTGTATTGTACCATGTCTGACATATCGATGCTAAACTTGGTCACTAACAAAACAACACCGAGATAAGCTTGAATACTGTCAAAGAGCTATGGAGAGAGGAGTATGTTAGGAATAACAAAGAGAGCTAGATGGAAAAACGAAGACCTCAGACGGAAGACCAAAGTAACTGACATCCTGACCCGTATATATAGAACCGTATAATAGACCAACAAAAATGGAGATGGACAGGCCACATGATCCGTAACCAATCAGAAAAATGGAGTAAAGTTGTTACCAACTAGCACCCCAAAGATGGAAAAAGATGCAGGGGATGGCAAGTTACTAGATAGGCAGACGAGCTTAAACAGACAGTGGGAGTTTACTGGAGAAGAATAGCCCTAAACAGATCTGAGTGGCAAAGATTGGAAGCAGCATTTCTCCAAAGATTTGAGCGGCTGGACATCCTATAGAGGCTGGAGGAGGCCTTGTGTCACTGACATGCTACGTTTACCACTAAAGAAAAAAAAAACAAATTTTCAAACATATTTTGTAAACTGGTAGCTTAAATAAAGGCTTTTTTATTTTATACTCCTCCTCTCTCTTCTTTTCAATAACTGAATTGTTATTCTTGACATGAAATCATAATATAGAAAATAAGGCTGTATGTACTTTGGTTGTTTTGCCTTATCTAAAAAATAAAAGAATATAAAAAAAAAATTTTTTTTTGCCAAAACGTTGTAATTTACTAATAAAGTAATTTAAGACTGGGGTTTTTTGGTGGGATTTCATCGAGTGCGGTTGGCGTCTTATTTTAATTATTCTTAAATTTGTTCATATTAGTGGATATTGTGAAATAAAATTGGTGTGATTTTGTGTTACAACCGTCTGCGCAACTGAAGAATTAGTGGAATCTTTAAAATATACGCTATTCCGGTCAAGCGGACGGGAGAATTTTATTGTAGTATTGACTACCTCACAGAAGCTTATCGAGAAAGCCAACTCCAAGAAACACTCCAAGAAGCATTAGAATGCGTCACAACCACATTCTAATGTAAAAAAAAGGAAGAATAATACAAAAATAAGACGATGGCTGCATGGCTATGCCTTTGCCTTTCTCAATAGAGAGGAATAGCACTAAAAAAAAAAAATTTAAGACTTGGCGGGATCGGGAAGTGTCACTTTAGCAGTTTTGTTTTTCTTGTTAAAAATTGTGTGGATTATTAACTACTAAGTGTTCGGAAACATGCACAAGTGTTGGCAAGTGATACAAAATAGCGAAAAGTGTCTTTCGACGTTCCCTCAAGAAGTCCACGGGGAGGTTCCATTAAATCCCCACACATTTACTGAAACATGAGGAAAGGGGGATTGACTTGACTGCCACTTACTTTGACTTGACAAATATTTTGACCACGAGTGCTATAGAATATGTAAATATTTTACACTTGACATTGGCTAAATGCACAAACCGTGCGAAGCCATATAGAAAACAAAAAGTAATTTAAAATATTTTATTTTCTTCAAAAACTATCAGTGCACTGGTGTGGAGACTTTGCATAGAGACTTCATTAACAGAGAGCTTTTCACCAAAACATAGTGGTGTCAATTCTTGGGCCCTGGAAGTACTGTAGTTTATGTTAAAAATTAAGGTACTAATCTGTGCATCGCGATCGATCGCGACCGCGCGCGGACTGCGACTGTCGTAAGTCGCTCGCGCCAATAGTCATAGTATGAAAATGTTTCGCACTAAACGCTCGTCATCGTCCTCTTCTTCTTCAAGAATGTCAATTAGCACTTCGACCATGATTTTGACTTCAGTAGACACACGTCTAGAGGGAACAACACCGACTAACTTTGAGACACGGCCTCGCGCGGCTCGCGACAGTCATCGGCCGCGTGCGTTTGTCGCCGGCCTCGGAAGTGGTACCATACATATTCATACCATGACTATTGTCGCGAGCGACCGACGACAATCGTAAGCCGCGATCGATCGCGATGCACGGAATAGTACCTTTAAAATCAAAGACTTACCTTAAATTCTTTTATTAAATGAATGACTCCTTTCTCAAGGGATGTTGGAAGACCAAGTCGTCGAAGATGTGGTTCTATAGTGTGTGAAAAATCTTTTAAAGGTCCAGCTGGTAACGTAATATCTTTAGTTGCTATGAAACCAGAACGAGCAAATTCCGTCGCACAATAAGTTTTAAAACATTGTAGAACATCTAATACATCCCTGTTCGTCATCAACAAACCACATTGACCTTTTAACCTCTTGGAAAGCTGTAATTATAAATAGTAATAACTAGAATATGTTGAGTGTGAACTGTATTATTAGAGCATACAAATAGATGACTATTTTGGCCTTCAAAAGAGTAGAGCGTTCACTGTCTTTCATGGATTAGCAAAACACTAAATCTGGCAGGGTTCGTAAAAGTGCTTAGTTGATTATCCCAAGATTTAGATTTAGACATGGGGAGCGAGGAGTGTGGTAACCCCTACCACTCCCACCAACAGGAAATAATAACACTTTTAAACCAACCTAATAATCTTTTGGTTTATATGATAAATATGGAATTTTGTTCATAACGAAAGACAGTTAGTTACATCAAAAATCTAATCTAAATGTCGAAATTTTAAGTTAGTGTGTTACAGTAAAAAAGCAGTTGGAAATAAGTTTATTGTATTATTTTCATTTTAAAAGTGAACCGCCTGTTCAATATCTGGGAATAAGCAACTAAATCGAAACAGTAAAAAGTTTGGTTTATAAAAAAAAAAACTATACCAAATTAAGTTGATCTTCAACTTCATCAGTTTTGCTTCTTCCCAGTGCTACAGCCATAATTTTGTTTTTGCCAAAAAAGAATCTTGAATCTTTCCATTCACTTCGTAAATCTTTTAATTTTGTGTTTCTCATGTTATCAACAGTAAAAAGAAAAATGTGTTCATATTTGGACAATGAATTCCGGATTTCTTCAATAGTTTTTTGTTTCAAAACCAGGCCCTTTTTATTTGTTTTTGTTAAAGAAACTGAAAAAAATAATTTGTTTACATAAAAAGGCAATAATAGAGAGAATATCATTGTTATAGGTTATGTTTTTATAATTACCTTTCTTATCCCTCTTAGACTTAGGCATTGTTTTAATTTATAGTGCACAATTCAGATTACGTTACACTAATGCTGCTTGTTTTTACCAATCAATTAAAATGACAAATTTATTGCAAAACCAACTCGCACTCAATCCGCACGTGTTTTTTTGAGAGGTTCTTTTGGAAAGAAACAGCTTTTTTGAATAATATGTTTTACGGCTCTGGATTAGGGACACGAAAAAAGTATCGATACTTTGTGGTATCGAGTACTTTTCCTTTCGATACCGATACTTTTGTACTCGATACTTTGTATTCGATACTTTTACTAAATGAGTACTTTTTGGCAAGTATCGATACCTTTAAAAAATTTGGATTAGCGCCTCATACTGATGGCAACGCCATCTTGTCAAATCATAGCAAACCTTCTAAAACGTTCCATAGGGTATTTGACAAGTTTTAGGCAACGATCTCACGTTATTGTCTAATGTTTATGGAGTTCATAAAAAGTGGATATTCATCATTTTGTTGTGTATTTCAGTAAAAATAACCAAATCAAAAACTCCATTTTCAAGTTGCCGCGAAAACGTTTCTCTGGATAATATGACGTCTTACTAGTGTGTGACGTCACACGACTGTTATTAAAACGTCAAACGATACAATGTACTGTCACTTTGACCGGAAGTTTACTTGCGTGTGACGTCATTTTAGGCTCCGCCAATCCGAAGCGTTTTGGATCACGTGACAATAGATAAGAAAACTAATATCTTTTTCGTTATTTTGGCACTTTATTTTTGATACTGTCAAATGACCCATTGCGTTGTTATAAAGTCAGTAACTGACATATTCAAATTCTTTCCAATCTGTGACTGTGTTTATTTTGCGCTTTGTTTTGTTTCATAGTTACTGTTATTTACTTAGAGTAAGAAAGCTATAGAGGATGGGATAGCGTGGCCACACACGAGACAAAAAACTAACATATCCATAATGTATTTATAGAACTCAGTGATACCATAAACCTTACCCTTTACCCAGAAACAAGGAGATTTAAGTACCACGCAGTTCCAACACGGAGCGGAGCACAGATTAGGAATAGAACGTGGCGTGGAGCGATAAAATAATCACATGAATATTATAAAGGCGAAAGTTTATTAGTGTTCGTGTGTGTTTATATGTTTGTTACTTCTTCACGCTCAAACGGCTGGACCAATTTTGATAAAATTTTGTATGGAGGTATCTGACACCCTGGATTAACATATAGACTTTTTATCCCGATATTCTTACGCGATCGACACTTATGCGGTTGAAACCGCAGGGCGCAGCTAGTAATATATATATTATACTATATTCGATTGAAATATATATAAATATTCTTCTAGGTAGTTATCAAGCCGAGTAGGTAGTTAAAAGGCTCGTTATACGATCGGATTACGAGATCGATGGTACATTTTTATCAATGGTTCATTATAATTATCAACGCTCTTAAAATTTATATCCTCGAAAGCTACAACAAATCAAGGGTCCAAAATAAAAACATTACCTGAATCACAATCAACATTTTTATTAATGTAAACATACTCTACAAGATCACAGAGAACAGAGAGAATCATTTATTGCCCTTTGAATAACACTAGTTTATTATGTATATTACGAATCCTATCGCTGGGTGCAAAAAACTGTTTGGTACTATAGTGAATCCTTACTTCAAAGTAATTCATGGCGACTGCTTTCAAAAGCATTATTCTATGATTTCCAATCAGTGTTTGGTCATCATTATTGTGAAGTTTTTCAAATATATAAATGTCATTTAAACAGTCCTTAAAACATGAAAGTATTAATTTCTGCATTAAGTTTTTCTCATTGTAAAAGCTGATACCTTCATGTGAACGCAATCTAAATATTTTTTCAGCACGTTCGCATATTTTGATTACGCTCCTCGATGGATAGATCAACCCTCCTTTATCTTTTTTGGCAATAAATCCATCATACTTATTAGAGATTAAAGTTAGGAGGCATTCCTCACATTTAATTACTTTTTTCAACTTTTTTACAACGAATCCGGCTATGTACGCAATGACTTCTTGTGTGTACAAAGAAAGCCTAGAGGGGTCTGACAAGTAGTCATGGTCACTATCGACAGCTGGTAAACTTTCTACTGACTCGAAATTATCAAACGATTCAGCTGTATGCGTAAATAAATTAATTTTATTTTCGTACCGCATTTCGCTGAAAGTTAAAATTTTTATGTCTTCTAGTGGGATGCAATTTCCTGATGTAATATGTTTTATTTCCCCATGTATAACTAGTCTTTTATATGCGCCTTTAAATTGCATAGCTGTTGGGTTATTGTTAAATCCACCTTTAGCACGAATAGAGCTAAAAAAGCATTCCAGGTGATCCTGGCTCATTTTGTACAAGGGCACAAAGTTCAAAATCTTGGAAGCGATTAAATTTTTGTAAACATTTTTAAGACTCTTAATACAAATATAGAATCCAAAAAACCCTACTTTTCTATTAGTCTGTAATATTGGTTGATCTTTTAATTTCAATCCAACTATATAATTTTCCATTTCATTCAAGAACATTTCAATGTCAGGGTAGTTCTTATTATTCATAGGTTTCTTGAAATCAAATGTATGGAAGTTTCTGCTATTTAAAATATCAAATATGCTATTAATATTTTTTATAAATTCTACGGTAGCTTCTGAATCAACAAAATCTGCCAATCCTAAATCTTTTCGACAAAATTCTATAGATTCAGCTACAGAATTACTGAACGTTTGGGCTGCCAATTTTACTTTCATAATTTGTTTTGCAAAATTTATATGTTGGTTTCGGAGTCGATTAGCCAAATGAAGGCCTTCATTATTTTGTAAATTATGAAGATTAACAATAAATTGCCAAGATATTTTTTGACCAATTAAGTTGGTAAGCTCATTTTTTTCTCCAAGGGTATTTCTTACTAATTTCAGCATATGTGCTGGATCGGGAAAAATTGAGATTTCTTGATTCTTAATGGTAAAAGAAGTTTTAAGATTATTCAAATCTAAAGGATCCAAAAGACAATCAAGGCATTTGGCCATAGAAAAATTGGCAGGACAACCGTCAAACGTCAGTGAAATTATATTAACTCCACATGAAATTAAAAGTTCCACACATTGTTTTACCAAATTTGCCTTTTGTGCCCCTGTACAACCATCCACCAAGAAATAGCCCACTGGAATTTTCCAACTATCGTTTACAGCGGTGACCATAAATACTAGTGCTTCCCTAGCAACAGCAACATTATGTCCATCTAACACTTCTCCAAAATTTACTAATCCCACGCATTGCTTACCGTCCCACTGAACATGTTTCCGAATCGCCATTTCATCCAGAGATAGAGCGCAATAAATTGTTTTATCTTTAGCACGCTTAACTAATAACTTAATACATTCAAGTGATTCATCCGTAAATCCTGGGCTATCGTCAAAACTCTTATACCATGTACGTAAAGTAAATGGATGTGGTAAACAAGAATTGAATGAATTCCTTACAAAGTTGTATGCCCTCGGGCTTATATAATGCAAGCAAAGCGCAAATTTTCGGAGAGCTGGAGAATACTTAGAATTAGCAGGACCAGGGCTAATAATTTTTTTCAAGAAGTCTTTGTTGACGCATTCAACTGATCCAATTAAATTGCAATCTTCTTCACTAACAAGTGATCTTGACTTTAATTCTGTTAGAATATTTTCTAAATTTGCCACTTTCTTATTCAACCTTCGCGATTTTTCTCGAAGCGCCCTTAATTTTTTTATTCTTCCTTTAGATCGCTTTTCTTCATTTTTCCATTTTTTTTTCAAAGTTCTTGGTGTGAATTCAGGTGACTTTTCCTAAAAAAAATTATTATATTAAAAGAAGTACTTATTTCATTTATTATATTTTTATTTGAAGCATTTAACTGCTAGATGTTTACTACATAACAATAATTAATAGAAGGGGAGTGCCCGGTGAATGTCAATAGGCTCGCCACCTATTATATGGGGCTGTAGGTAGGTACTGCAGGTAATACTTGCGGTGAAGCTTGGGTATAGAAATACCTGTAATAGAAGAACACCTCTGCCTACCGCGTCGGGAGTTATAGGCGTGATGATATGTATGTATCTTATTGTAAAGAGAAACTTACAGGCAAAGATTTTGTAGAGCATTGCATCACGTCAGTAGCTGCAGGGTAATTTTCTGTGATGGTCGCCAACGGTATCACGGTAGTTGCAGATTTCATGCGTTTATTAAGATTTTCCATATCGTCAAGCTGAAAAATATTTATTATTATCAGGAATCCAGGTGTAATTTTGGGCCTTCATACATATAAAAATGACAACATAAAGCTTCTAAAAAAATACGTCTAAAAAAGGATTTAATCCCTGCTATAATGTTAATTAATAGCATAGAAATTTTCTTATATCACATTTATATATATATTTTAAGTATTATAGGGCAAGAACTTTACATAATTTATTTTTTGTTAGTTTACCTCTGGCAGACCGAAGGATTGAAGGATTAATGAAAGAAGACACTTACAGGCTCAGATTGTGTATCGCATTGCAACACATCAGTAGACACAGGGTGACTATCTGTGATGGTCGTCAACGCTATTACTGCAGATGTAGATGGCATGGGTTCAGATGACTTTTTAGAAGTTTCGTCATCTCCAAGCTGAAAAACAAAAAAAACATAACTTCACTGTATAATTTAAGTTGAGACGAAATAATTGTGAAATGTTACCATATAATAAAACATCGGCCAAGTGCGAGTCAGACTTGTGCACTAAGGGTTTCGTACCATCAGTATTACCTTTATTTCCGAAACGACTGAACCCTTAATTATATTATAAAGGGAAACCATACAATAAGAATCAAATGTTTATAAATGTTTCTCTCACCATAATAACTGGAAAAGCTTCAGGATGAATGTAAGTATATCTTCCTTTTCTTAATATGTGGTCCGCATCAAAATGTCTGCTGCAAATTTTGGAACTCTTTTTTGGAACCCATTCATTTCGACCACAGGCAGCAATCCATTTTTTTCGAATATTAGGGTTATGCGGGAAACTGTAATATAAGATAAAATTACATTACTTATTGAAATTATTAAACCAAATAATTCAATAGGTATCTGCTTCTATTTTTGATTCTGTATCTGTATTATCTTGTCAATATTTATTACCTTACATTATTTATCTAATTACTATTGT